AGGGAGGTTGTGGAGTCTCCTTCTCTGGAGATATTCAAGACCCGCCTGGATGCGGTCCTGTGCAGCCTGCTGTAGGTGACCCTGCTTTGGGAGGGGGGTTGGACTAGCTGACCCACAGAGGTCCCTTCCAACCCCTACTATTCTGTGATTCTGTGATTCTGTGAAAGGCTGAGGGAGCTGGGCTTGTTTAACCTGAAGAAAAGAAGGCTGAGAGGGGACCTTATAAATGCTTATAAATATCTTAGGGGTGAGGGTCAAGAGGATGGGGCCAGACGCTTTCCAGTGGTGCCCAGCAAGAGGACAAGAGGCAATGGGCACAAACTGAAGCATAGGAAGTTCCATCTGAACATGAGAAAGAACTTCTTTACTTTGAGGGTGACAGAGCACTGGAACAGATTGCCCAGGGAGGTTGTGGATTCTCCTTCTCTGGAGATATTTGAGACCTGCCTGGATGAGGTCCTGTGCAGCCTGCTCGGGGGGCTTACTAGATGACCCACAGAGGTCCCTTCCAACCCCTAACATTCTGTGATTCTGTGAAATCGCACTATGAAGGTGCACTAAGCAAGAGGTTGTGAGTTTGTCTTCATTGGTGATTCCTGAGCTGTTGAACCTGAAATCCGCTGATATTTCAACTCCTCCCATGTTTCTTCGTGATCAAGGAGCAGACCTCTTCCTCTCCCCAGTTTGAAGGTAGGCATGTGAATAGGTATGGTCTGATAGAGAAGCCCCTGAGCTTGTTCCCAAGCTTCCCAGCCCAGAAACCTTCCTGGGTTCACCAAAGGGTGCCCAGAAAAGGCACCAGGTGGGGTTGGACATGGTTAGGGCTGCCCTGACAGTGACAGACACGCAGAAAGGATGAGCTGATGAGGATGGTGGGGCACAGAGATCCTCTATCCCTGCAAGTTTCCTCAGGAAAAAAGCTGTTTCATGGAGTCCTGATTTTTTTTTTCCTGATTTGATGTCTCTGGTGCTGGGTGGCCATGCCAGAGCTGCCAGCATCACACTGGGGGCCCAGGAAGTCCACGGTGGGTTGCACAGGGCTGGAGGAGGGATGTGGCGGCCAAGGACCTCCCACTCAGAGCCCTGAGCCAGGGCTGCTCCATGCCTTGGCGTAGTCAGCAGTGTTTTTGTCTGATTTTTTTTTGGAACAACGCGAAACATTTCCACAATCCCCAACTTGTCCATAAACACAGCCCTGCAGAGTGGACATGCTCGCCTGAGTCTGAACAGGCTGCCAAACACATCCCTCTTGATGAGTCAGTCACCAAAACTGGGGTCCCAAAACCCTGAAGAGTAAGAGTCTGAGGTCTCCTGTATTTTCCACCCATGTCAGATGGGGGGGGGGGGGGGGGGGGGGGGGGAATTAACTTCACGGCTGCTGAATACTCAAGGCACTCCATCTTTGGTGACTGACTATGAGATGAAAAGCTACAAATCAGTGCTGAAGATCTCAGGTGTGCAGCTGGCCTAGTCAGTTTTGACCATTAATTGAACATCAGAAGAGGACCAGTTTGCTCTCATTATTGCCAGGTGGCACTCCCAGAAAAGATACAAATCAGTCCATGTGCTCTCCAATCTAGGACACAACTCTGGTTCTCTGCTGAGCTGTGCTTCCTAGAGGCTTCCAGGCTTACACTCTTCTTCTGGGTCACCAAAGGTCTGGAAAAAATTAATCTACATTTCTATATCCCTGCCTCCATGCCTCAGCAGGACACCTGACCAAATAGAGGGAATGTTCCAGTAAGTGTACAGCTGGAACTTACTCTGTGTGAAGCTGTGTGCAACATTGGCAAACCAAACTTCTTCCCATCATGCTACTTTAATAGTCCCTAGTTTTACAGCAATGTGTGTTCAAAATTTTCATTTCCAGGAAACTGCACAAGACTTAGGAAGTTTAACCAGAATGTTTAAAGAGCTCTTCAGAAAAATACAACATAATAGTGTTTTGCCAACTCTTTGAATGTATTTATTTATGTTTGGATTTGTGTAAGGAATTTTCCATGCTATAAATTTTTATTAAAAACATGTCATTAGAAATAAATAGTACCTTTATAATCATAAACAAACCAGTGCTTTTTACACACACTAATGTTGGGTTTCCTCTTACAAAACTGGACATGTGTTCCACCATCTATTTTTTTTGTTTATACCTGATATAAAAGGATAAAGTTGCTGCATGAACTTATACTTATTATGGATTTCTTATGTCTTCAGATGAGATACACAGAGGGTTTGTGTCTATATCCCTAATAATATTTGTATGGGAAACTTAGCCTTCTGTTCTTGCTATTGATTTTCGATGTGCTAGATGAGCTTAAATACTGCAGAAGAAATGTAATTGTAATAACAAAGATTAAAATATTGGTTGCTTTTTCCTGCTTGCTCAGGGGAATTACTGATCTGTATGAAAAAAGAAATATGCTTGTACCATAGAAAGGCTCGATAATACTGGCTGGTTAAAGGAAAAATACATTTTGTTTAGTTCACCAGAACCTTGTTTTCATTTGCTATGTGAAAATGTGTGGTCTGGTTTCTCAGATAGTAGGAAAGCAGAATTCCTCAATGCTGTTCTCCTTTCTGTTTTCTGTTTCCTGCAGATCAAGTTGACGATACTCAAATGTCACGCGGTTGATGTGTTTGCCACTGGAGACCATTCGCAGCACGGTGTTGTCACAGCCAATCTTCATTTGGGCTGGTTAGGGAAAAGAGATATAAAGATACACTTATATGAGAGAGATGGAAAAGAGATATAGAGTGTTGGGAATTACAAAGAACCAATACATATAATCTTGGAAACAAGGCAAATTTGTGTGTAGTAATGACCAGCCAGTGGCAGTATTGCTGACTAAATACCTTCTTTTGAATTTGTTAGTTTGATGTTACAATGGCTTGGGCATTTAATCAAGTGTTGTAACCTTTGCTCATGCAAATGCCAGGCACTTCCCATCCCCCTGCAGTCTCCTGTACACATAGATAGACGTGATGCAGAGGTCTGTACATGTTCGCACTTTGGAAGGTATGCTGTTAGGTACCACAAGTGGTGGGTATGGGTAATGGCACCCTGCCCTGCAGATATCCAAAATTCACAGTATTGAAACGTTTTCTGCTAGAGGAATGAAAGATTTTGTGCGTAAGGAAGTTCTTCACAGTAACAAAGGCATGTAAGAGAACCACCAAGACAGACAGAAATGGCATTGCCCAGCATATAGATACAGTCTGGGGGAAATCAAGCTGCTGCTTTAGGTGAGCCATATGATTGGGGATTTAGCAAAGCCGGTTTCATCTGGTGAACCTGGAGCACCCTCCTCACTGGAGGAGAAACCTGGTGGGTCATTGGGAGAGTGGGGGCTGCAGAGATGGGATTTCCCTGCTTTCACATGGCTAGGAAAACACATTTTAATCTCAGCGCAGTGCTTAGTATTCACTCAGCACCAGTGCTTGCTGGTTAAAACTTCGAACAATGCCTGGACCATGAAGTTGTGGTGTGATGAAAGGCAAGGGAGACCACAGGGGCGAAGTGCCAGTCACGTTCCCACTCTCCACCCTGTGGAAACACTGCTTCTCCGGTGCACCTGTTCATACTCCTGAAGTACAACACATGTCCCACAGGGGCTAGTCTGTCACATCATTGCAACGCTTCATACTCTGCTGTACTGAATATCAGGGAAAATAGGAATTCTTATTTTTGTGGGGAGAAAGAGGTCACTGACCTGACATTATAGTGAAACAGGTTCAGAGCTCCTCCAAGGTTCAAAGCAGAGAGCGGGAGCTCTGAGACTTTTGGAGTATGTGTTACTCCTGCAGCAGAAAAGGAGGCTTTGGAAACACTGAACAGGTGAGAAAAACCTCCTTAACTGAGAATGTAACCTTTCTGCCTTCATTTATTATGAATTTCCAACTCATTTATCTGTTGACACTCTAATAATCATATGTGCCATAGGACAAGCATTTTAAAAATATGTATAACTTAACCTTGTTATAATGATATAACATAACAAGGGGTAAGTGAAGGTGGTCGTGGGCACGCTGAATCACACAGCCCAGCTGCAGGCTTGAATAGCTTTAGCTGTCATGTTCTGCTTCTTGTGAAGCTCCGGCGCTCTGCATGACTCCCTGTGGTTAATTATTTTATAATGTGCAGGTAAGTGGAAGAAGGAGATCTTACCAGACCCATGAAAGGAGTGACAGAGATCAGCTAGTGGAAACATCTTGGAGGGGTCTAAGCCAGTTCCTCCTAAAAGCTCTACAAAATCTCCCACTCCTGCACAGCCTGCTGATGGTTTCTAAAAAGGCAGAGATTAAAAGTTTTTTATCATTTATCTTTAAAAGGTAGCAGTTCTCTAGACATGACTGCAGCCAACAGTAGGTTTTACAAGTCCTGTGTGCTCAAACCTGTGTGAAATCAGGCTGTTCCCATCCTGAGCAGCACTACTTCAATTTGACTTTAGTCAGTTAATTTCCTTAAGGGATTCCAAAAAGAGACCTAAGAAGGCACTGAAAACTACTGACAAGTAGTTAAGGTGTTGATTCAACTGATTCTAGTGCAGATAAGTAATCTGATTCTGGATGCTTAGACATGTAATCAAATTAACACAGGCATGGGCTGCACGTGTGCCCACACGCAGCTGGCAGGCAGGAACTTCAGTTCCACTATACCATACATATTCCTAAGCAATAAGTGTTGCTAAAATGAGCTATTCTGGCAAAGTTTAGTTAAAGTAGGATTTCACCTAAAGGGCAGTTTTGTATGACAACAATGGCTCACTGTGTGTTAGACTCAAAAGTGTTCTTTTCCTGAAAATTAATGCTTTTTGTCAAATACATCTTGCATGGACACCTTGTGCACCTTTGGGCTGTCACCCATATGCTGCTGTTTAAGTGCTTGATTTCTTTATCATTCTCCTGCTGTTGTCCCTTTTCTGCCCAATGCTGAATAAATAAACTCGGACACTGGCAGTCCCCATGAAGGACCTAGGCTGCCAGATTCACTGGCAGCAGAAAACAAACTTTCTTGCTCTTATCCTTCTGGCTATTTTCGAATTCGCACCTTCTTAGGCCTCCGAGGCACAGTGTGCCACCAACAGCTCTTGTCCTTTCCTGCCTAGTTATCACCAAGCACCAAATGCTGTGGCCAAACCCAGCCCTGTGATATGCATCAGAGCAGATGGAGCAGAGGATGCTCAGCAGGCTGAGCAGGGAATCAGTTGTGAGCATGTCTCTATTTTCTCCATGCTAATTCCTCACTATCTAACCCATGTCTCCTTTCTCTGTTCAGCATGGTTGCTGCTTTCATTAGTTTAAATACAGACAGATAGCTCTTCAGGAGAGCAATCCTTTCTTTCTAATGAAATTCTTACCCTTTGTTGTGGCAAGCAATATTTACAGGCATTAAAAATACTTGGCATAGTTTGATTGCCTCTTCAACATTACAGAGACAATATCAACAGAGACAGACCCAGCCCTCATCTCTGGGGGGAAACCAGAGCCCCCAGCGTACGCGCACATGGTCTGGAGCACAGATGTCCTAGAAGCCAGTGCCACAGGCTACCCCTGCTTCACGTCCTTCCTTCTCCCATGCCCAGGAAAACTGCATGTGGTTGTATTTTTTTGGAAACAAATAACTCACCTTTAAAAAGAGGCCATTTAGATGTCCCAGAATAAGATCAGATATTTTTATCACCACTGGGTAGATTATGGAGAAGCTGCAGTTTCTGTGCTGATGAGGAATGACCATGGTAAACCTTCCTGAGGGAGTCTGAGAGATGACATTGCAAGCTGGGACACGGGAGAAGATACAAGAGTTACTTGTGCAGTCCTCACTGCATGTAGCAAAATGATGTACTTTCAGCACTAACAGAGTATTTAATTACTGAGAGTTACAGCCAAACACTGAAAAATATGCATATGGCATTTTCTGGGGTTCTTGCACAGCATTTGTTCCCTAAAAATTCCCTGCCCATTCTTTACTGTGTAGCGCAAGGCAGAACTTCAGCGTGAAGCGGTCAACGGGAGAACTCACACCCCACATCCGTACATCAGAGGCTCATGTTGTTGGGGGCTCATACTGTTTGCCAGTTTGAAGGGGGCTAAAGACAGATGCAGGGATTTTTTTTTAGCTTTGACAGGTTATCACCCAATATTGCCAGCAAACACCTATGTCCTATTCTGCTTCTCTTAACGGGAGTGCTTTACGCTGCAAAACGTCCCATTGAAACTAGAACAAGTACATGCTGATTTCATCTTGAAGTTCAAACTTAACAGTTCAGGTAAGCGAGCAGTTTATCATCTGCGTGTGCAACCCAAAGGATCCTCCACACAGACCTGGGCACCAGCAGCTGCTTCAGCACACCGGTGAAGGACACCAGCCACCTCCAGCAGCTGCACACAATAATCATGTCCATGGGCATGAAGCCACGTCAGCGTGGAGACCCAGCTTGCAGGCTTGTGTCTGAACAACTTGGAGTAAGGACAGGGCAGACATGCCATCATCTTCATACTTTGCATGGTGAGGCAGATAAATCAGACTGGCCTGAACAGTAACTGTTAAATGTCCTTCCCCTCTTGGAAAAGCGATGCAAGTGACCATTAATTGTACCTTGCCAGCCCACAACCTTAGGGAAATAACTTGCAAATAGATTCTCGGGATCATGTATCACTCATAACTATCACAGAACTATTCAAGACTCTTTTTTTGCTGTTGAACTTTTTCAAATATTTTTTCCTCATTGTTGACCCAGATCTAGAAATTTCTGAGATTAAACTCTCTAAATTATTACTATGTGTTGTAGCCAAATGTATTGAAACATGACAGACTGGAAGAGATCTTCTTTGAAAGAAAGAGCCTTCTGGTCCTGAGTGAGGCTTTAGCCATGCCTAAGTTATCTCTTACATTTCACTGTCTTATTTTTTCCTTGAGGCACACACTGTCCCTGAGTCAAATCTTCAGGTGTGCAGGTGTATGTGGCTCCACTGGCATTACTGGAGCCATGTCAGTACAGATAATGCCCGCAAGAAAATTCAGTGAAAACCAACACATTCATTTTGCTTCCTGCCCCAAATGCAAGCCCGTTTGACAGTATAAAACACAGACTTACGAAAGAAGTTGGTAGTTTTCTTGACTGTGATGGCAAATCCTTTGCCTGGCTGGTGAATCCTGAAGAAGATCATTGCCACGTTCTGTGATGACTTGATGCTCCCCTGAATACTGCCACTTTCACAGAAGTCTACATATCTTTGGGAAGTGGGAAGGGCATGGTCCAAGGAACTGGGAAATTTCTCTCCTTTGAGTATCCAACCATCAAATACCTACAGGCATTCAATAATTGAAAACAAGGATTTTTCTTATCGCAGAGAGAACAGAAACATGAAGTATTACAGACACTGTTTTATTTTGACACCAGATGGCCTGTTCCAAGCCACCAATTAAAAACAAAAGTTCTTTGTATTTATTGATTTCCTATCATTTAACTAATTATACATGCTTCAGTCTGTATTTAGGAAAGGGATACGTATAAATTTTAACATTGTCTTTATTTCCTTCAGGTGACAATTTTCGTGACCTTTTTTTGAGGGAAGCAGTTCTTCTTGGTCCAGCATCATTACATTTACATCCTTATTTTTATTTCTTACTATTGCAATTTCATTGTTACTATGAGAAGTTTTTGACCAGATTGATTTGGACGCCACATGAAACATAAGCCGCCCTCTCAAACTCTGGCATTAAATTCATTGATCTGGCCTGTAATTTTCTGCCATCCATGTTTTGCAGCTTGTCATTAATGGGCCCAGAGGCCTTCCAGAGGTGTTGGAATACCATAAACTTCAGGAAGAAATTATTGGCAGAGGCATTGCTCTCTCCTGCATCTGTTCTTTCAGCTTGTCCTAACCACTAGAAAGCAGAACAAATGCTGCCTACTTGGCTGGACCTTAAGCAGCAACCTCCACAAATCTTTCCTTCACAACAAAAATAGCAAAAAATGGCCCTCACTATCTTCAGGGAAGTGTGTCAGAAATGTGTCAGAACTGGAAATCTGTATTGTGTCTAGCATAGCTGTGCAGTTGCCTGCCTTGTTGTTTCAATTCCCTCCTAGCTACTCTCACCTAGTAATTCCTTCTACACTCCAGTCAATACTTTGAAATTACAAGGACCGGATCCTGCCATTGCTTTGGTGAGTAATCCTAATGTGAGTATGTGTGGGACTTCCTCACAGAAAAGCTGAAGAATCAGTCTCTGGATTTGCCAGGACTGTGAATTTTCTGAAGCAATGAGATGTGTGTGCCCAAATTTCACCAGGGAAAAGTTGCCTGTATAAATACAGTAGTATAATGCAGAAACCGGGGACCCCGTGATCAAAGGAAAGAAACCTCTATAAAGCCTCAAAGATCTCTTGGCATTTTTCTAGTCTCCATAAGTGGCTGTAAGTCTAGATACAAAATCCTGGGACCCACAAGAGGCCGAAATCAGCTTCACTGTAGCAACGTGGGGAGACATCCTAGACAGGGGTGTGGGATGAAGGGACAGGATTCCCCAGGGCAAAGCGAGCAGGCAGACAGCATGTCTCCAAGAGAAGGAGACAAAGAAAGGGCTGAAGGGAAGCTTTGCTCCTCGTCCCTGGAGCTCAGCTCACCACTGGACAGGATGGGGTCTGTGCTGTACACAGCCATGGCAGCACAAAGGGCAGAGCGCAAGGTGAGGGGAGCAGCCAGCGGCTCTTGAGCCTCCCCTTCTCTCCTGGAATGAGTTTGGTTCTGGGTCAATGCTTCTGTCTGCCAGCAAAACGCGCTAGTAAAGTTTTTTGATACTAGAATATAAATGGCTCTGAGCCATGCACCTCTTTCTCTTCAGAGCCAACATTGTAAAAAGCTCTAGCAGGGCCATTTGAAAGAAAGCCTGCAATGATCCACTCATTAATAAGCTGATGCTAAGTGACCTGCGAGCGGAGGTCCTGGAGCAGTAACAGCCATTCAGAGAGCCATATCATTATCTGCATGGCTTGGGTGATTCATGGTGTAGTGAGAAAACCTTCCTAACGGGGCTGAGGGACTCGTACTGACCAGACTTTGATTTCAGTCCCCCAGGTATAGAAAGTCAGTAGAGCTGCTGCTGGAAAAGTTCAGAAGAGCCAGTGTTGCATTTTGGTGAATGATCCTCAGCCTGCATCCAACTTTGCTTTTGGAGGTTGATGGTGGTGGGGACATACCCAAAGTGCCTCAGGGAGGAGGAACCACTGTCCCAGAGATGGCTGCTTTGTGAAAGCCTGTTCTGCACACACAAACACACACTTGCGCACACACATGTTTGCTTGCCCCTTACACACGTAGCAAATACCTCACACATCAGATGAGAGCAGGGAAGGGGAACTGCAGCAGGACTTGCAAGTTTCTTACCTTCAGGAAATCGCCCGCTTGGCAGTCAATGTTTATGAAGTTGTAATCTATTGTAATGAGCTCCTCAGGCTCCCCAATAAAGAAGGTTGCACAGTGCAGCTGTGGTTGGTCTGCGGTGAAGGTGAACTGCCCCTCTATACTCAGCATGTCGATGCACCCTGCAGAAACAGAGACATGGGGCTGCTGCCTCAGCCTGCTGGGGACGGAGACTCAGCACCAGTTCCCGCAGCGCAGGGAAGGAGGGCACGAGGAGAGAACCCCACGCAGAGACCCAGCTGGTGGTGGGGAGAGAAAGAACCAGCTGAAGCAATTAGGAGCCTGGTGAGCATTGGAGGATGAATAGTAATTCACAGATGTGAGAACAAGCGTGTGATGAGGGGGTGCAGGGGGGATGACATGTCAAAGCATCTCTGGGCAGAAAACTCTGTGTGTGTGTGTGCACAAGTGCACAAACACCCCGCTCCTTCAGCTTTCTCTCTAATCGTAGCTTCTCCACCCCTGCCACTTCCCCTGGAGATGTGACTCTGCCCAGGGACATGAGTGGACAATCCTCATCCTCCTCCCACTGTTGAGGAACCTCAACTCTGAGCCCCAATCTCTTTTCAGAGCCCCATTTCGATCTGTCTGCCTTAGTCACAGTTTTTCTGAGATTAGAACACTTTGTCTTTCTTCTCTCCGCCCTTGCAAAAGGCATTTGCAGCTCTACCATGCTCAAATATCCTCTTTCTCTTCCCTGAGCTCCCTCTAGGACTCTCCCACCCACAGATGATCCCCAGCAGAGCATCAGAGAAACTCACGGAGCGACCGCCGGTAAATCTGCCCTGCAGACAGCTCTCTCTTCAGATCTTCACTGAGGAGTAGGAAGGGCTCATCTTCACTGGCATCCCTCACCTGGTGAAGAGGTTAAGAAGAGGCTGAGGCAAGGAGAAATGCAGCCCCCTCCCTGCATGTCTCAAGAACAGGCACCAGATTAAATCCCTCCTCCAAGAACAGTGCAGCTGTAGAAGAGCTGGGTCAGAAAGCTGCCAACCTGCAGCAGAAGGGAGCAAACCTGGCACCTAAGAGGTGAGCCCAGCAGCTCAGTGAACAGCAAGTTTCTTAAATCCTCAGCAAAAATGCAGGTTTGATAAAAGGGGAGGGGGGGAGGAGATGGGGATGGGATGGTTGCATTAGTGTAACCCAGGTGTAGGTTAATGCAGGAGGAGTGGGAACAGGAGGGGAGAGAAGAAAAAGCGCAGTGCTTGAAAGCTGAGAGTACAAGTTAGAAGACAGCAGCTAAAAGCCCAGTGAAGTGCTTTAGTCATCAGCCCCATTGCTCACCTCTAGGTATCTGGTTTCCCCCTTGGAGGCTGCCAGGAAGATGAGAACAAAGTGGCATTGAAACTGGAAAGCAGACGGCATGCTGACAGCTCCTCCGGCGGCCCTCCCTCTCTTCCCGCGGCCAAGTTTCTCCCAGTCTGCGCTGGTAGGCAGGAGCCACTGGGCTATCTTGGAGAGACTCTTTTTATAGAGCTGTTGGGAGGGGAGGCACTTGGTCCCCGTACTGATAGGGTAACCCATGGTAACTGAATTCCTCTCTCAGTGACACAATACGTGGGCATGACAAGGGTCCAAATCACAGTCGCAAATTTTCAAGCCAGTCGAACTCCCCTCACTGGCAGATGTCTTTTCTACTTATCTGTCTGGCAGAGCTGAAAAGCTCTGGGGAGGAGAGCTTGTCCCTGTGCAGCCAGGGCACTTGTGCAGTGTGTTTATTTCAAGTTACCCCAAAGTGAGGAACGAGGAGTAACCCTCCATCCTCCTCCTCTTCTGCTTTCCAGCCCCAGGGCATTTTGGACCTGCAGAACTCCCTGCCTCCCTCCTGCTACTCTGCGACAAGCAACCCTCTACAACCCCGGTGCCAGGTGCTTCCCACCAGCCAGGGCTGGGTGAGTGCCCCTGCATCCCAGCCGGGCTTGTACTGTGGAGCCAGCATACCCCTGGGGCTGGTGGACCTGCTGGCTTCCAGGTCCTGCGCCTGCAGCTGGGGCACGAGGGCTCTGCAGCAAGTACACAGGCAACAACCAGAGACCTCTCCCCGCCAGACACAGCTTTTGTACAGAAATTAGGAAAACTTGGGGTTCTCTAGGGCATATTCCCCACAGAACAGCTGATACTGCTCCAGCCCTGGTCCTCAAGGGAAACCTGAGACAGACCTTCAAAAGATGAACCTGGGAATGAAAATTCGTAACTCTGCAGAGTACTAAAAATCAGGAATTTAGTGGAGATACTAGTTTTAGGATATATTATTTTCCCCTGACCCAGGATGAACCATCAATACTCTGCAATATATACAGCATACAATAACTACTC